CAAACACGGTCAAATACGGTCAAACATTTTGATATTTTCCATTTCCCTGCATTTTACCTGCCTCTATATATTAGGTTGATGAATAATTATTGCGGATTTTTCCAGCAAATTTTACTTGAAGAAATTACAGAAATTCTAAGCAAAGACATATTCAAATAATTACTCCGGAACTTATTCACCATCCACGTCAAGCACTGCTTCCCATTGATTAGTTAGTCGGATTCCAAAAGCGAAGAAGTTTTGATGCTTACGGGCGCCTATCCACGTATCCTTGCCTTGACATCGGCCATCAAGTCATCCAAATCGACCTAACTTCTATTCTCTAGCCATTTTTTCGATGAACGGTTGACGAGATATTCCATAAAAGTTTCTGCTGGTGAATATGGCAGATTTACGGGCAGGTCCCATTTCTTGGTTGGTTCTGGCTCATTGTTCGATCGCCAAAAAGTTACTGAGATCGCGGAATGACTGCGCCACCTTCCAATCTTTCTCGAAGTAGTTAAGCCTAATTTCGCGAATATGCGGATCGGCTCATGAGTATATTCTTGTAGAAGAAATCAAGTAGATCATTTCTAGAAAAAACCCGAACTCAATAGTCGAACACTTTTGGGAGAAAAAAAGCGGCGCAAAAACCCGCAATAATTATGCATCAACCTAATAGATATAGTACACTTCAAGTTTTATTGCAAGCATACCCAATGTTCTATGACTTCATTTGCTATTTTTTTGAAATGCTATTGGTACAGGGCTGGGCGATGGAAATCCAGGTACCTGTGCCAGTCCTGGTAAATATTTGTTCAACCTTGAAGCGAACGACAACTTCACCTCCGGTTTTAGAGAAGCAGCATGTACATATAAGGGGTCAGTTTGTGAGCAACATGTGTGTTACACACATTTTTTCAGGTTTTTTCTCAATGTTGAGTTCCTCGTGGGCACCTTACTTATCACTGGTATCTTTCTGTTGGACATTTCTCTATGTTAAAATCAAAACAGAATCACACGAGTAACTTGCGGGATCATTCTTCCCTGAATAGGTGCGACAAGCCCTACTGAAAACAGGAATAAGGCCTTTACTTGAACAAACGTCAGAAAATGTTCTCAAGGCCTTTAATAGGAAAAACTGTGCCAAAATCTCGACGATGCTGGAGAACAAGCCCGCATCTTCCTCCTGTAGACCACTACCCATACATCACGTCGGCGCTTGATATCGAAGCGACGAGTTCTCGGTTCCAATTAACATCACTATCGAGGCCCTATAACTTTTTTAGAAAAGCCATTTCGCAGTTTTAGTTTAATGTTCGCAAACAGCATTATCGATTCATCTGGATCTCTATTTCAAGTTCCATGGTAAGTGAATCACCCTGCATGGCTGGTGCATTGCGTGCCAAAAGTATGTAGTTATCTCAGTGTCTTCGTGTAAGGTTTGATTGGAAAATTTTCTAGTTACTGGTCCTTCTTGTTCAATGGAGATAGGCAGTAGTGGTGTGCTGAGCAGGTTGAAAGTTCAATTTTGAAACTTTGTTGAATGGAGCTTTTTGTTTGTACTCAAAGTATGTGGACCCTAATGCCTGCTCCAAGTTTGACGCCATTTCCCTGACCAATTTGTATTGTTGTTACTTTTCTCATTAAGTCTATCACCACTAATCATCGATCTCGACGGTTCAAATGAATTTGGCCGCAACTGAAGAGATTTCGATCTAGCTTCTTCTCGGGCGGTAACTTCGGTTGGGTTGACTAATGGTCCAGTTGGGCTCGAGAGAACCGAAGGATAGAAGCTCGGTTTTCCTGCTTGTCATTTATACATTGAGTTCAAGCTCGTCGCGCACAAAAGTGTTTGACCAAACACTTTCGATCATCCCTCTTTTCTTCTGTAGTTGTCGGTGTCCCATAATACAAAGCAAAGGCTCGTCATTGTTGAAGAACGAAAAAATGCTAAAGAAAACCCAGTCATTCGCAAATATATGACCTATATCATATATCTAATATCCTGTCACATCATCACTAGTCACAAGAACTGCTCCAACTTGACATCTTGCCACAAATGAGAATAGGCGACAGTCCATATTTCCCAGACAGGCGGTGCCTCTCTGCATACATTGCGACTGCTTGGGAACGGCTTCGATGTAGTCCTGTAAACCGATGCCAGCAAAATGTCGGGTTGAGATGATTGGGATTTACCGCTTTTACGACTGATTTTATGCAAAATGGACATTGTGGGTGTCGGCTGATACTCAGGGTGAGATGGACCTTTGTACGCCTTGGCCTTGGAAAGGCCCTTCTGGCTTTCGCTACGCCCATTTGTATAAGGTTCCCACCGATGAGGTCTGCCTGGGCCGATCCAACCGTCTACACCTCCCCGGAAGGAAGTAGTGTATCGGAAGTAGTGCGATGTAGTGAACTTATCACCACTTCCTCATAATGCAAACTCGTCGAAAACTATTTAAGGGTTATGATTCGGTGTGGTTACCTCAACAGCCGGTAACGGTATAACCTATATTGCTTGTGGCAATATTGTTTGTCCGTACGAAATTGTATCAGAAGGCTTTCACGAATGTTGAAACTAATAAAGAACTTCGATTGACTCATAAGTCCTTGTGAGGTTAGGGCTTCCGTTTTCTGTATATCATGGACAAACTTTGGTAAAAATATTATAATCTCATCAATGAGAAGGATCGGAAGCAACACACTATTCATAGGGAGAGTGGACTGATCACTCCTATATTCTCGCGTCCGACACATCCAATAGTTGTGGGGCATTGGCGCAGAAGTGAAAGTATTATTTGTACACAAGGGTCTCGAGGTTCCCACAGACAAACGTTGGAAGTTTCCTTTGAAGAGCTAGCTGGAGTAAAAGGAGTTTGTCACAGGTCACAATGAAATTGACCCACGTCAATGAAATCAGATGGACTCATGCTGCAAGAATGAGAGTCCTCCATCGAATACGCTGACACCACCTTCCGTTAGAATAGTTTGCTGGTGACATGTTGAAGAACGCTCAATACGATAAATCACTTGGTTTCAAATCGTTCCTCCTTGAAACCTCTGGAGTCATTTTGAGCGAATGTTTGAAATTCCACTTTTGCTATAATGGAGTTCCACAAATGTGACGTAGCTACGTAGACGCCCAACATCAGGCTCAAAAACTTTGCAGGTCTTTAGACGTGTTTCATGGAAAACCGAAACGAGCGCATGCGTCGAGGACTCAAACCTCGATATCGTCCTTACCAGTCCACCATCCTACCAGCTGCGCCACCGTTGCATATGGAAAGCTATGTTTTGCTCGGTGATCCGTTCAGTACATTACACATAACACAGGGAAGCATCGGCTCTCTAACTTGTTCCCAGAATCGCTTAGCAGATTTAGAACACAGATTTGAGATTAGCGTTCGATATACGTCATATACAGCGTACACACCTCATTTTGAATGGCCACTGTGACCAAGCGTTCTTCTCGTGTTAGGCCTAATCGACTTGAGTTCGTTTTCCTTTGCATCTTTGTTATTTTTCTTGTGGCATTTTTACAGGAAGTGTTCAGCACCTTACATATTGCACGCTCAGGTTCGCTTCGCCCAAGATCATCTGGGATACATTTGTTCCCCGCAAAATATTCAACGATTTATGACCCACTATGACTGCATAATGGAACAGGAAGCAATGGGACGTGGCAACTGCAGACGTCACATTATGGGTGAGGCTATGCCTGGCAAAGATGAGGTGGGTCGACTCAGTACTCAACCTTATGAGTTCTCATTTGATATGCGTGCAGGCACGTTGAGAACGATATGTCGCAGGAGATTTTCGTTGCAAACTCGACTTAGCTCGAAGTATATCGAAAATGGTGTCTAGTTCGTCAAATAATTGAAAATTTCTGTCATTTTTTTGTTCTCCTATGTTCTCCTAACTGAAATTCAGAAATTCTTGACTTGACATTTGTGGATACAGTTAACGTTGATGTTTTCCTTTCAGCACAAATGTCGAGGAGTGAAGGCTTATCGTGCTTGTCTTGCTCCTCAGCTGAAGAAACATTGTCATCCTGGAGCACTCAACGAATTTGATTCTAGTGTGCGACAGTTTGGCTGCTTGCGATATGGTCTTTCAGATATCTAACATGAATATCCCGTCAGTGGTGATGGGGGAACTGCTCACGGTTCAGTGACATCCAACGCCATTCAATCATGAAACTTCGGTAGATGTCCTCATTTCATGACTAGATGTTCTCTTCTATTATAGAAAAGAGTGCGTGTGTGAGTGTTAAGTAGTTGTAGTTGTAGTATTGAAGGATGTGCTAGTCTCTACAACTGCGAAGCATTACAGTAGCTGCATAGCGGTACCAAACTGTTCGAGCCCCTTAGTTGACTATAATTCGCGAGCACCATTAATATTTATGGCCGAAAGATCGCAATCACAATCATAATCATATACGGCTGCCGGAATGCGGCATTTTCAATCCTACTGCTCGATTGGTTTGTTGATTTGTGCAAATTAGGTTTAAATGCCGTACTAGGATCAGAAATGTCGCTGCTATACTCAGACCCTGGGACACCAAAAAGGGCCTTAACGAATCCATTCCATTAACCCTGAGAAAAAGTGATTGCTAGAATGCTAAATGAATTTAGACAGGTCTAATTCTGAAACATTCTTGGAACTTCAGGACTAAGTAAAACTGTTTCGCAAATTTTTGTATTTAAGCTGAATACGTTTGCTACAGCACTGTTTACACAATAACGCGTTTCGGTGGTGGATTCTCGCTTAGTTGTGACACTACGCTCCTATAAACTCGACACGCCACTTGGAGCTCTTAAATGTCATGACCAAAATTGATGGTGATCTAGTCTCTAGTGCTGTCTCTCGATAAGATCGTCCTTTCATTATAAATACGAGCCTGAGCAGTGAGAAGAATGCTTCTTTGTTGTACGGACTGACCATTACATTGCTACGACTTTAGTATGACATGTCTGAAGATTAAACAGATGGTAATTCATAGAAGCACTTTTATAGCGTTAGCGATGATTCGACACAGTAAAAAAAAAACCGGGGTTATCCAACTTTTGAGAAAATGAGTCAGGTAATGAACCTTAGTTTTGGAAATCGATTCCGAGCGTTAGATAACGAACACAAGATTCTAAAAATTTACCGAAAGTTTT